GTGTAAATTTGATGGAGGTGTTTGGGTGCATGTTTAGTGCAAAGCTGTGTTTGTTTTTAGTTACTATTCTTCATTTGACTTGATTCTTATAAAGCAAAATAAAAGGTTCTTATACTCTGAGAAATTACTTGTTCTGTTGTCTTTTTTTAGACCAACACACATTCTCACCTGTGATTTTGTGAAATGTTAAAGTTGCACCATGTGGCTTGAAGCTTAATTCAGGCTCCCTTCAACAATCTGACCTTCCAGTGGCTCTCTGTAAGTCGACAGATCATTCTTCTGAACAGGGTATATTTTCTGTGTGAATGGTGCTGCGGAGAGAAAGAGTGCGGAGGGAGAGAAGACAGATGGCGATGGAGCTGAGGGGAGGGTCCGATAAAATAGAGGGAGTGGAGGAAGAAGTGGAGGAAAGGAGGAGCACGGAGAGAAGGTCAAGAATGTAGATGGTGTCTAACGCTCTATTCTCCGTACCTCCAGGGTGTCTGAGCTGCTGCCGACGGCCCGTTGAGCAGCGTGTTGATGTACGGGGCGTTGTTGAATAGCAACGGTTTGTCTGATGGTCGTCCTGCAGAGGAGGAAAGAAAAAAACATGTGAGAACCATTTTATGTGCAGAAGGTTTCTGTTGGCTACTGAAACAAAAACATTTTAGAGGGAGAGAACATCTCTGCAGCTGCACAAACGCAGGTGCAGATCATATTTGCAATATTTCAATCAGGAGCGATTTCAATCTGACAGTTAAACAAATATTTGTGCGGTCATGCACAGCAAAGTAAGTGTATATATTATAAGTCTTTTGCTATTTAGACCACCAGACTAATTGAACTTACAAGCTTCATTTAAATATCCAAATTTAGGGTATGAAGTACAAACGTAGAAAGGCACAGGTGCCTCAGATGATTCACAAGGGCGGTGAGTGTGATGTAATGTGTGAGCGAAGGCGGTGGTTTGTCTCTAATGACTTCCAGGAGGTCACAGCTCCTTGAACTGCAGCAGTGTGAGCTAAACAAACCAAGTTCCCTCAATAAACTAAACTAAACACAGTCACAGAGCTGCACTCGCAGCTGTGACACCGAAGTAAACAGGAGAGATGTTTTCAAACTCACGAGGTCTTTAGGACCCATCCTCTGGGGATCATGAATGTCTGCAACAGATCACATAGCAGCAGTTTAGTCGGAAATAAAGAGGTGGACTAACTGTATGATTCAAACTCTACATAGCAATAGGTTTTAAAACAGCATTTTACAACTAAAAAGATCTTTGTCCACATGAGCGTTTTAGTTCAATATCTGTAACAACTTCCAATCGAATCCCGCAGTGAATGCACATCCTGACCTAATCTGAGTTTTTACACTAAAATGATGTCGGCGGCTTTTCCAAACTTCTCACTTTAAGGCGCTCGAAAACAATGTCTGGAGTCGTGTGGACAGAAACCCACAGTTGTATGTTTTAAAACATAGATAAAGCCTTAGGCCTTGTCTACATGTTTGCAAATATTTGTTTTAAAAATCTAAAAAATGTTAAAACCTTTGAAAGCCATTTGTAGAAAACTCAATTTTAGTGACTTAAAACAGTTTGTGTGTGAACGAGAGGCTCAAACGCAGAAAATATCCACATTAGTAAGAACAGGCTGAAACAGGTTCTGCTGATGTCTGGAGTTCTGTGTATTGTTCCAGGCTCACCCACCTCACACACCTGTTTGTTCTGAAAGAGTCATAAAATGTGTGTGTGTGTGTGTGTGTGTGTGTGTGTGTGTGTGTGTCTGTGTGTGTTGATGCTTTTCATCTCTGCGTGATGTGGAGTCTCTCTGTGTTTCAGCGGGTTGGTCTGGATCCAGACTCCATGTGTCCTCTGGTTCAGGGTAACGATGGGTGTGACACATGTGGAAAGAAACATGCTGGTGTGACCCAGCTACTCAACACATACAATGCACACGCACAGGAGAACAAAGCATGTAACGTATGATCTTCAGTGCAGCATAAGAACACATGATGAAGAAATATTTATTCTGAATGACTTGAATAACAACATCAAGGAACATGTTTTAGGATGATATCACATGTTAGATTAAGTTAAATAAAGTTCCTCACCAACTAAACTGCCGATAGGACGAATCCTAACTAAACTAAACTAACATGCTGCTGTCAATCATCATGTTTGAACCTGTATTATCAATAACATGAACATCAATGTGATAAGACTCTTTAGTTTGACCCATGTCCCATCTACTAACGTGGAGGAGTTGGGATTTATACTGCAGCTAGCCACCAGGGGGTGATACAGACTATTTGGCTTCACTTTTTAAGACGCTGACATTGTCCATCATCATTTCCAGTTTCCATTCTGTTGTTTGGTTTTTGTGTTAAAGATTTTACAGATTGGCAGATGGACGTGAATCAGTGACAAAGATTATCGTAGATCATCAGAGGCTGCAGAAGTAATGAACATTGATTTTAGATAAGACACACACACGCACTGTGTTCGATCCTGTATGCAGCCATGATGTCTGTAGGATTATCAAATCAACATCCCCAAAAGTCTCTAAGTATTAAGTATTTTACATCCTCTGACACGGTTCAGTGAATGTGACCACACGGATTGAGGAGGAGGACAGAGGTTTCACTCTGGACCAAACAGGACTCAGGCAGAAGCTGCAGGAACACAGCGTCTGTGCATCATCATTAATGACCTGGACAAAGAAGCAGCATGGACAGTCTTCTATTAACAGTGATGAGCTAATGATTGAACTGAGGACGAGGCCGGACCAACAGGTCTGTCTGGACAACAGGCGACGAGTTAATGATAACGCTAATGATGGCTCCGCTCTATTCGAAAGTCCCCGTAAACCAGCAAACAGGACCCTGCAACTGAACCAGGAACAAGAAATTCAGTTTCTGATTGACAGCTGAGATTTACTCATGATTGGTTGAGCATGTGTAAGGGGAGGGACCTCGAGACCTCAGCTCAGCTTCAGTATAAGGTCAGCTCCAGCTATTGTGATGTCATAGTTTTCTATTTCATTCTTTGGATCTAAATTGTATTTTTGAACTGTTATTTTTTTCACGCGTCTTGTGCATCATGGCGTTCATCCTTGGAAGAGACCTTTGCTCAAAAATACTTTTTTATATGCCCTATTTTGCCTTATTATTTCTGTGACCATTTTTATCTCTGTTTTCTTTTTAGTTTATTCATCTTTTTATTCATCTTTCTTTTTTTTTTAAAAAGGTTCAGGACCTTTTTCAAAGATTTATGGGACAGACCGAGCAGAGTAAAAATAAAAATTTAAGAGAATAAAAGGCAGATTCTCTTCAAATTCAATATAAACATATAAACAGAAAATGAGCTGGATGGAGTTTTAATGTGTTTTAATCTGACATAATAAATTCAGTTTAAACTAATTGGCTCCCCCTGTCTAACCCAAACTCTTCTGAGTGAGGGAACAAAACAGTCTTCACGCTTTTCTCCCACAATGCATTGCTAATTGCACTCTGCAGCTCACAAGCAGAACAGCTCCAGAGAGGAAAATATTCAGAAGCGAGGCTGCGGATCACATTTGCTCTATGGACCTGAACTCCCCCCTCGTTTAGGTTCAATCAGACAGAAAATTCAGTGTTAACACAATTAAAGGTCATTTAACACACAGCCGACCTCCTGCAGCTTAAACACTGAGCAATCATCAGACACCAAACACACACTGAGCTTGTTCTGAGGAAGACAGAAACACATGGACATCAGTTTCTGATTCACCATCGTCTCCCACCTCCAGATTCCAGCAGAGCCAGGAAGTGGTGTGTGCAGCCGGAGAGATAACAGATAACAGCGGAGCGGGAACAGTCCGTTTTCTATCAGGTGACAATAAGTCGACCTGCAGCTGAATCGCTCATCTCATGCATTTGTAATAACCTTGGATGTGAGCTTAAAGCAGCATTTGAAGTTCAGCTGCTGCATTTACTCACTGCACAGAAAGAGACGTCTTTCCTTTTGAATGGAGAAAATCAACTATGGTTCATTTGTTTGCCAGATCAGAAAAGGTTTGGATTTAGCTCTGATTACGCTTTGGTGTCATTCCCCAGTTGTAAATGTTTTGGATAAAAGCAGTTAATTAGAAAAATGTATTTAGTTCCAAAAGTAACAATTACAGTTACATTTAAATAACATAACATAACAATCCTATTTAAATCAAATGAAAAAAAGTGTTGCCTGAATTGCATTGTGTTTTACAGAGTCAGTTCATGAACCTTACACACAAACAGACACACACACACACACACACACACACACACACACACACACAGGGCGTAGCAGTCATCAAGTCATGCTGACTGCCTCCTCCTCCCTCTTGCTATCTCTCTCTCCCTCTCTTTCTCTTTCTCTTCCTCTCTCTCTCTCTCTCTCTCTCTCTCTCTCTCTCCCTCTCTCTCTCTCTCTCTCTCTCTCTCTCTCTCTCTCTCTCTCTCTCTCCCTCTCCCGCTCTCTCTCTCTCTCTCTCTCAGTCTGCCGGTTGCTCTCTCTCTGCTCACACTGCTCTCACACACTCTGAACATCACCACAACTGGACAGAGACTGAATGAAATTAAATGAGTGACTTTGTTTTTCTTATTTGTTCTGGATGGATACTCGTTTGCTTGGAGGATGACAGCAGGAGTCCAGGAACCTGAATGTGAGTACAACCTCCTCTTCACACACACACACACACACACACACACACATACACACACACATACACACACATACACACACATATAGCAGTGTTAGTGAAACGTCACCTGCAGCAGAAAGCTATAATTCAGATGAGTGTGTGCAGGTGTTCAACACATAACATGTATTTTTAGAGTTATTATTCACCTACAACATGTATTTAAGTGTGTGTACAACTTGGAAAACAACATATACACTTGTAATTATTTTTACGCTCCTCTAGTTTCACACTAAGGATATGTTTACAATAGGTTAATATTGCCTCTAATTAAGTTTTAAACACATTTGTGAAAAATTGAATGCACAATTCTAAGCAGAATAAGATAAATAGATCAAAAGATAGATTGAAAGACAGATAGATAGATAGATATTCCTTTGTTACAGCAGGAAGGTATCTGACACATAACATATATTATTCAAAATATTAAAATAACATCATCCACTAAAACTTTACAAAAGATAAAGAATAAAATGTACAAAACTGTACACAATACTATAAAATGATTACACTACAGCTCTCACACAAGTGCGCACACAATCTATCTATCTGTGTTACGATTATTTCTTGCAGTGTGAACTCTATGTCAGTGTGATGGTTTATTCTTGCTGTTGCTGCAGTGTTTGCAGTCTGGAATAAACACTTCCACGGTAACAGACCATAATACTGTTATTGTGCATAATAATCTGTCAGAGGAGCTTTAAGACATCAGAGGGGAAAGTCAAGTATTTAAGTCAGAACATTTTGCACGTAAATGTCTCCTCTGCTCCTACCCCTGACTTTGAACTCGGCTTGAGACATCGCTCCCACTCTTCTTCCACTCTTCACCCAGCAGGCTGGTTCCTCTGTTTGCTCCCATTAACTCGCTGCAACAACCAAGTCAAATTGCATTAGTACAGTGGAAAGAGAGCGAGCTGAGCTGAAGTTACAGTACAGCAGGCACTTGTGTGTCTGCCACAGCTCCAAGGGTTTTGACTGCAGACAATTAATAAATCATGAGAAAGAACAACTAAATCAGCCGCTTGTGTCGCTGAACCTCTCCAGTGCAGGGACCAGAAAACGATTCTGGTGGATGAGATGTGGAGCGGAATCAGCTCTGATGCCGTCGAGGAGCTTTTAGTTCATTATGTGTTGAGCCAGACTGGAAGAGAACTGTATAGGAGACTTGTGGCGATGCAATTTACAGATCTAAGATATTTACCTTCGTCAGTAACATATGAGGATGGTTCACTTTTCAAAGAGAAGATAAAAAATGTCTTTTGATCGAGAAACTGGATCAGAATTGTTCAGAATTTGATGATGATCCAGATTTTTTCTGTGGCAGTTGTGCTGTGATGTCTTGCTGTTGGAAAAATCAGATTTTAAATATCATATATAGACACATGCAGATAGAAAGAAAACACGTGCTAATTAGAAAAACATCATCAATTTGACGACACATGCGCTGCAAAAAGACAGCAAATACACAACAATTAGAAATGTCCGTCCTGGTTGACATCTTCATTGTCGTCTTCTACGTAAACAGCTCCTCTTTTTCATCCTTTAGTTTCTGCAACAGACACACATCGTTTTGTGTCCGTTGCATTATAGAAGCGACATCAACGAGCCCACTCGCTATTTCGAGAGCTAATCCAGAGTTCATTGCACTTCTGAAAGCAACTAATGTTAAATCAAGTAACATAAAAAACTTCCTGGATCTGCACCTTAGTCTGGATTTGTGCCAAAATTGAACAGGTTCTTTCCTGACCAATACCAACCCTCCCACCAAGATTTGTGTAAATTCGTTCAGTAGTTTCACGTAATTTTTTTTGCAAGCAAACCTCATTGGTGGAGAACAGAGGGTGTTAACAGTAAAGAAGCAGAGTTCTAAATCTGTACTTTCACCCTGAACCACCTCTGCTCTTTGGTCTCAAACCACTTCTCTTAATCAAAACGTGTGCGAGTGAGGTTTATAAGAGTGACATGTTTCTGAAGTATTACTTCCTGGTCTGCGTCTTTCCATTTCCAATGTAACCGAAGGTCAGGGAAGAGCTGAGGGAAGGAAAACATACATCTCTCGGGAGGATGATTTAAATTTGAAAAAAAAAAAATCACAAATATGTTCACACTGTGGAAGTTGATTTTCCTGCTGTAGAGGAATGAATGGTGCGCTTGTTTTTGACACACGTGTGACACAAATGAGAATCTATGTTGTGTGTTATTGTGAAACGGTTGAGAATATGAGCTGCCTCAGGCAGAGACACACAGAGACGGATTTCTCTGGGAAGCATCATGCTTTATTGAGCTGCGGGGAAATGTTTCAACCTTAATGGTCTTTTTAGTAAACCATCCTCACAATGAATCCTTTGTTCCTCCTACAGAATTCCTGCCTTCAGCTCCAACTGTTGTAATATTAAAATCAGTAGAATCTCCTTTTCTTCTCCTCTATGTCTGGATCTGTTCTCTCCCTCCTCCCTCTCTCCCTCCGTCTTTCAACCCTCTGCACATGGTCAACTCAGTTCATCTTTCTCCTTCTATTATGTTTCTCTTCTTCCCTCATGATATTACAATTTTCAGCTTTGAACTTGTTTTGTTGGTTGCAAAACTCTAATTATAACTAAGAATATATGATTTATAAATAAACTGCCCTTTCAAAGTGGGCCTGTAGGGGTTACTTGGATCTGAGTCTCTGCATGCAAAATTGAATCCCAAATGTACGGAGGTATATGGTCACCTGTTGGTGCTGATGGGGGATGGAGGTCCATGTGTAAATGTGTTTAGAAATCTGTGCCCTCAGATTTATATACGTGCTCAAACTAACAAGTGAAAACCAGATTCCAACCTTTCATAAAACTCTGCATGTGCGCTCTGGAAATATTCCTGGTGCTGCGCTGCCCTCGTAGTGTTTGTGTATTCATTCGAGGGTTTTGAATATGCCTGTTACTGGCACTTGTCTCTTTTCCAGCATCCACACAGATACCCCATGAAAGAAATAAATCACAATTTGAATCTCCTCCGTGTTAACCGTTGTCGCAACCTCGGAGCCCATCTGCAATCGCCTGACACTGAATAAGCCTCTGAGGGCAATGCTTAGTAAACTGGGGCTTCAGATGTAGACAGTGGATATTCTGAGGCAAGACTGACACACACTGTTTACAGTCCAATCCTCTCGTCCAATAAAACTTTGTTTCAGAAGTATTTTGGGTCCTCTGCAATACAACCCATCTGCAAAAGTCTGAAAATGACTGGATGGTGGAGGTTGTTGAGAGCAATGAAATGTGTAGAGACACATATTCGTCCATTTATAGTTACCTATAAAAGGTGAAAATAAACAGAGCACTGCTGTGTTTATCTCATTTTCTATATCATTACATTATTTAAAATATTATTTTGAGTAAACTGTGTTCCTCAACCCTCCATCTCCTCCATCCCCTCTGCTGAACTATTTCTGACCTCAGAGGAAAGATAATCTGAGCAGATTCAGCTCAAGGCTTCGAGTCAGAGGGATGACTGTGGTCAGCTAATAGCCCCAGATACTTACCTGCTGCACACGCACACACACACACACACACACACACACACGTATAAGTACACACTATTCCACCTTCTCCTCCTTCACCAACGTTTGGGTGAGATCTGGAGACAAACACATTTGACCGACTGTATCATCCGTCTCTCAAAACCACATTATTCAGAACTGAACTATGTTTTTAATGTTTTAAATAATAATTGTAGTCATTGTCAATACTAGTTTTGAGTATAATCATCACTTCAGACCGAAAAATCCAAACCACCATTAGATGAATAACCATTATATTTGTTCAGTTGAGCTCAGATGATGACTCTGGTTTTCCTGTGTCTTCTATTTTAGCGCCACCACCAGGTCAAACCTTTCATTGATTCTGTGAAATATCTAAAAATCGAATAGACGGATTAAATAAATGGGACCAGGAACAAAGATTTAATGCCAGAAATTGGGATATGGAAAGAGACAAGGGATTTTTTTTAAAGATCATTATGGGAGGGACAGAAAGCAGAGGATGAGTGGAAAGGAGGGGAGTGGGAGACAGGGGTGATGGATGGAAGGGATAAATAAAAAGAGCTTTAGATGAGGGTGAATGTAAAAGACGGTGCTGTGACGGTGTAATTGCTCTCCAGAGGAGTTCTGATAAGCAACACTTAAGAGCCTCTGTGGTAAAGTAATCACGGTGATTAAGCACCAGAACAGCGGTGGCAGCTAACAGCTAACCTGAGGCATCGAGACCAGCACAACATAATACACATTATACTGTGACATAACATATCATAACACTGATGTCACGTGAGAAAATCATGGTTGTTTGTGAAATGTGAAAAAGCTTGATGGCATCTGCTTCAGATCTCATTATTTCTATACGAGGCAGCAATTAAGGATTAATTATTTAACTTCAAGAGGGTTGTTGTGTCTTCATGCAAATTTAAACTGTGTTATCAACCACAGGATATTTCCCCAGGAACCATTAGAGAGCTATATTTGTTCCATGAACCTTTACAGAACAAATATGTCAATCTGTATCTACCCAGTATATGTTGAATCCTGCCCTTCTGCAGTGGACAGTAAGATTTTGTGGATGTTTTAATGGCCACAGATGTAGGATTCCTCCATCGCCTCTGATGGTTGGTGTGTTTGTGGGAGTGAGAGAGTGACAGAGAGGCAAATTCCAATACCATTCTGGTTGGCATCGCCTGTATCCCTCTGACCACGTCTCTGCTCGGACTTCCTGCTGTTTTGCAGGAGCGGGTAATTTCAACTTTTTAAGACAAGCTGGGGATCTTGTGATTGAGTTTGAAAACACACAAACGTTGAGGTGATGGGTGGATAATTATATCGTCTTTGTAAAGCTCGGAGTGAGAAACCTGCAGGGTCACAGCTCGTCTGACAGGACGGTTGTTCTGGACATGCTGAGGTGTCACAAGTCTGGTCTCTCGGATGACTCAAAAGCCAG